ACCCCCGCCCCTGTCTCACTTAGGCCCGGACCTGGGGTCCGTTGGTGCTCAGGGGGAGGGGGAGTCGTTGACCCAGGTACGCGGCGGCGCCATGTGGCCGCCGCCATGAGGGACATGGGGACGGGGAGGGGCACGGCCCGGCGCCGTGCATGGCAGGTCAAACTCCACTGGGAAGCATCGCAGCTGGCGCGACTTTGACCCATAAAAACCCCTTTTCTTCGCTCTCGTGTGTTTTATGGATGACGTCTGCTGTCCGTGGGACGGAACGGCGACGGCACGGCGCGACCGTCGCCATCCCCGTCGTCGCGTCTGGTCTGCCTACCTGACTCGCTGGCGCGGCCGCCGAGGCACGCGGTCGGAGGAGGAGGCAATGGTCTCACGCGGCAGGAGGCCCCGGAGAGCGCTCCGGAGGCATCGGCCCACCCTCGGACCCCCGCAGCCGCAGCTTGCGAGGTTTGTTGTGGGGCTTGCACAGCACTGGAACAGAGAGCAGGCGGTAATATGGTGCTTAAGGTACCATGACAACAAAAAGAGTTGAACCTCTTCTGCTTGGAATATCGACATCAGAGGGGTTCAATTCTTTCTGTGGTGATAGCACGGGGCGCAGGTCTGCCGGTGCCTACGACGGTCCAAAGTCGCTTGATGGTCGACATTTACCGTCTGGCCTTTCACTTGAATGGCCCGGTGGAAGGGGGAAGGGGGAGGGAAGGGGGCGACCCACCCGGCGAAAGGGGAAGTGGTAGGGGTCGGCTACCTGGAGAAAGTGAGAGGTTATTCATTACCGAGCGTGCTGCTGGTTGTGAGGGGAGTTCAATGAATGTCACGCTGCAAGTGGTCAGCTTTATTTGACCGCACGCACGCACGCACTCACCACCGCAGGTGGTGTGCGTCGCGGACAGCTTGGACCCGCCGTACACCGCCGAGTGATACCGGTCGATGCAAGGCCAAGAAATCAATGTCGGTTTCCGTTGCGCCTAGCGGGGCGGGCGGGCGGCTCGGGGG